AGTATCTACAGTCCTAACAAAGCGTGAGCATGGGGTCATTTGTACACATTTCAGAAGAGGAAAAGAGAACTCAGAGAGACCAGAAGTGCAATTTCCCAAAAGACTCGTCATGACTCTGTGTGGTCTCCAGGATCTAAACCCACATCTCCATGACCCCAACTGCCAAACCATTTAGGACCCAGTACTGCCTGCTCTGAGCAAGGAGTTACTCTACTATTCATAGCAGGCTCTGAATCAGTAGAAGGAAACCCCTAAAAGGCAACAAAGAACTAAACAGAAATTAATTCACAGATTCATAATGGAGTGAATTTAAAAGGATGAATTAGTCAGGTGAGTCTGGTGGAGAGAAGAACAAGAGAGAAAAGAAACAAACCCTCAATTTTAGGTAGAAAACCCTTTTTTGAAAAAGGAATGTCTAGAGGGAGGAAGGGCTGCCTCCCGGAGGGTAACTGCATTATTGAATCCAGCCCAGCTATGATCATAGAGGACAGAGGCTGTGAAGACTTCAGACCTTGAAGAACAGGAGGAGAAGAAGAGGTAGGAGATGAAGAGGAGCTGGAGAAAAATGAGTAGAAGAAGTGAGAGAGGAACAGAAGACCGCAGGACATATAGCACAGGCTCACACTGTTGGAATTGGTTTGGGGTTTGGGAAACACTTTCACATCCATTTTACCTAAAGCCACATGTCATTACTACGGTTCCCAAATTATCATAGGTTCAAAAATCACTTTCTACTCCGGCTTGCTGGGCTCCCCTAGGAAGATGGGGATTATTTCCTTGTCCCAGGCCAGGCTGAGTCTCTGACTCATTCCCTCCTTCCTGGCACTGACTGTGCTGCCTGTCTGGCAATAAATAGAGCCGCCTCAGAGCTCCAGCCACTGTCACTTCCTTGTTCCCTGCCACACACCACTAAGACAGCTGACTGTCTTGGTCCCACTATGAAGCTGCTGATGGTCCCACTGCTGACTGCTCTTCCCCCCTGCTGCTCGGCAGGAGAGCCCAGTGCAGGGGGGAGGCCGGGAGATGGAAGGCATTGCTGGGCCCCTGTGGAAGAACTCCTGTTCGACACGCCCCAGCACAGGAAAGCTCCAAGAGGAAGGATCTATATGCAGTGGGCCTCAGGATCACATTCATTCCAGACACTAAAGTAGTGGTTCTCAACCTTCCTAACGCCACAACCCTTTAATACAGCTCCTCAAGTTGTGGTCACCCCCAACCATAAAATTACTTTCATTGCTACTTCATAAAAATAATTTTATGTTTGGGGGTCACCACGACATGAGGAACTGTATTAAAGGGTAGTGGCATTAGGAAGGTTGAAAACCACTGCACTAAAGCAGATAGGAGGTCTGTGCCCTTCAGAGAAGCTACACACAGTCTCACTCCCCTCAGGGTGTCCCACCAGGGTCACCGTTAGCATGAAAACCAGCATGAGTCTTAGGGTTGAATATTGGACCTTGCTGTCTCAGTGGGAAAAAAGAAAGACATGATTGAAGACCGCATGGCCTCCAGAAACCATCAAATAAACACAAGGCTCCTGAAATGTGGAAGGAAAAGGCAAACCTCCCAGAGAGAAGGCTCAGGCTGCAGCGTGTGACCAGTGTCTCTCACCCTGTGGTCTCACCTGCATTTGCAGAGTTGATCTGAGTTCTCTTTGGGATGCCCCCAGGTCGCAGTGTGCTTCTCAAAGCACACTGGAGAGGAGAACTCACAGTCTCTGGGGGCCCCTCAGGCAATCAAGATCTAGGGGGAGGACAAAGCCCTGACAGCTGGAATATGGCAGCACTTACCCTTCACAGAGGGAGCTGCCTTTTAGCATGTGCAAAGCCTGTTTCCATACCCACCCTATGAATTCCCAAAGCAGGTGGGTGTGGGCAAACAAGTGATCTGCTCACAGTCAGAAATCACAGAGCCGGAACCTGTAGCACAGTGGTTACGGTGCCAGCCACATGAACCTAGGCTGGAGAGTTCGAACCCAGTCCGGTCTAGCTAAACAGCAATGATAACAATAACAAAAAAATAGCCAGGCGTTGTGGTGGGCACCTGTAGTCCCAGCTACTTGGGAAGCTGAGATAAGAGAATCGCTTAAGCCCAAGAGTTCGAGGTTGCTGTGAGCTGTGACTCCATAAAACTCTACCGAGAATGCCATAGGGAGAATGTCTCAAAAAAAAAAAAAAAAATCACAGAGCCAGACTAGAACCAGCTCTTTCCCCTCCACCGCAGGGATGGGCACAGCAGATCTCTTCATGAAGGGAAAGTTCTGTGTTATGTTCTTTGATGTTCTGACAAGATTGAGAGTCAGGTCAAACTAGTGGACAATATTCCAGATGCAATACTTCTATGACGGGTAGGAAGTCTCCTTGGCACACACCCCCTCAGCCTTATCAGCTGTGCAGCTCTGTGTGGGGAAGGAGAGGGTGGACCCTGCTCCCACTTACAGGGACAGGATGAGGGGACATCACACAATTGGGGGGGGGTGCTACAAAACTCAGTAATCAGGGTAGGTAAATTTTGCCCAAATAGTTTTAAAAATGAAAATTAATGCCTAATCCAGGCATCGTCAAACTACGGCCTGCAGAGGACATTCATCGGGCCTGCCGGGTGTTTTTGCCGCTGCTGCTTGTCCTGCTTAGCCGCTGCCTGTCCTTTTGAACTATAGTCCAGCCCTCCAATGGTCTGAGGGACAGTGAACCCTGGCCCCCTGTTTAAAAAGTTTGAGGACTCCTGACCTAATACATGATCAGTGAAAGTTAAAATTTTAAGTCAAGGCTGGGTCCACCTGACTTTGCATGCTTCACCTCACCGGCTGAACATGGTCCCAGTCCTGCACCCCTAGGTGAATTAGAGTGAGCTCAGAGGAGCCCATCCATGGCCAGCAGGTCCAGTGTGGACAGGAGGACTGGCATGGGACAGGGACTCTGAGCCTGACCTCATGTCAGACAGAACCCAAGAGCCTGAGGACCTCAGAGAGGGTCTGGTGGGCAGGTGATGGGGTGAGGGGCCAGAAAGCACTTTCCAGTGGGAGCTCAGGGCTTGGGGAGCAGACTGAGGAGGAAGGTGCCTTGCAGAGCCCTCAGTGCCTCACTGAATTCTCCCGTGCCTGTCTGTGTCTGTCCCCCACAAGCGCCCTTCATGGGAGGCCCTGGAACGCCTCTTAGAAGAACAGAAAGGAACTTTAGTATTTTGCAGTTAGTTTATTGAAATAAAGATGTATTCAGGTTTCAACAAGTGTCTTGCAGTTTTCACTTAAAAGAACAAAAGAAGAAAAAACGTTGTGTTTTCTAGCAGTCAACAATGATCATGATCTGTCTGCCATATCTGAGCCAAAGTTCTTGTGGGATGTTAGTACTGTTGACAAAATTTGCTGCCATAGATGATTTGCTGAAAAACAAACACAGACAGGACAATGAGATTTTCAACTCTCCCTTGCAAAGGCAAATATGTAAGTCCAGACACTGTTCTCCTTGTTGTTTTCCTGCGATTGTCCACAAACATCTCACTCCCAAGAAAATTAGCTCTGGAAGCAAAATGTGAATTATCTCCTCATTTATTCCTATTTTCAGGAGATATTTATTAATACCGAAGAGGTCCTGATATTTCTGGATACCTTCCACATGGGGCAACTGCTTTAATATTTTTTCTCCAAGTTTTTGTTCTTTAAAATAATTTACCCAATTAAAATGCTGCATGTACAATTTGTTGAGGACATGCCAGTTTGAAGTGTTTCTGATGCCACTTTTTCGACACAGAATTGTGAACATCTCAGCTCAAATATAAACATGGTTTATAGTTCCGAGTTCTTTCATGATCTTAAAAGTTCGAAATATTTTAACACACTGCAGTTCTTCATTACCTTTGTGAACTCTGAATTCTTAGAGAGCTACACTGAAAATGATTGATATAATTTTGGTTCAAAAGAAACAATGCTCCCACCATCCTAAACTGCAGATGATGTTCCCTTTTATCCTTAAATTTGGGGGTATATTTCTAAATTGTTTTTTCTCTAGATTGTTTCAATGGAATATTGGGATACTATTAAGTAAATGCTAAAAAAAACTCTGAGCAATGTATACATAACTAGACAGATATAACAAGTGACATTCCTTTAGATAATTCCTTCGCCCATGCTGGTTTCATACCCATGATCTATACTTTCCATTTCATGAGGAACTGAATTAAATGATCCATGATTTCCAATCAAGTATGGTTACACATCTTGCTGGCTCAGACATTCACGTTAAATTCTTTATTTTGGAAAATGTATCATATGTATGAAATGTATTTTCTGAACTCTGAAAAAGTATTTTAAGACCTTTTTCTAATTTTGTGAAAAGGGGTAAGTTTCTTTGTTGGTTCCCCTACAAGTGAGAGGCTCCTGGAGAATTATTTTTTTTATCTTGGTAGAAAATGTGTTTGTGTCTGTCCCTGTGTGTTGGTGTGTGTGCATGTCTGTGTGTGCACAGGTGTCTGTGTGTTCCTGTGTTTGTGTCTGAAAATGGACTATGGAACTGAGGGGTAGGTCAGCCATTTCTGGAGCTTTCTTTTCCCTCTTTTGCTTTTTTCATTTATTATTCGCTGAAGATTCTTAAAATGAAGTGGCAAAGCAGTCGAGGGAGACATTTAAATGAGGTGAAATTTTTAAAAAGCTTGCCCACCAGTTGCTTGGCCTGGCTAGTGCCAGATTTAGAGCCTACTTGTTCCTGGTCAGTGTTGTTAAAAGGTACATAAGAAAAGACCAAAATTACCATCAGGATTCCGATGTTTTCCAGAGTTTCATTCGACTGGTTAAGGAAACACTCTTTAAATTCCTCAACAGCCTCATTGTCCGTTTCACCATTTGTAAACTCATAGAGTACACTTTTGTATTCAGGCATAGACACAGCTGGATTTATTGTCTTATTAATTACATCTTCAAGAAGTTGACAGCCAGAACCTGAGGACAGAGCACAACAATAAGGGCTCATGCCCAGAAGTGTGAACCCACCTTAGAACATCCCTATGAGATCAGTCATCATTGGACATCTCAGCAAGGGCTGAAATTCAGAAAGGCCATGGTGCGTGCTCTAGAGTTCTCAATTCCCGGAGAGGTAAACTCACATTCTAGGGTTCCCTTTAAGTCCTGAAAATTCTTCTACAGCCTCCCAAGTCCAGAGAAGCCACATTCTATGTCTCTTTGGTTAACCAGCACATTTGGGAATTGAGATGCTCTGCCTTGGTGGATCATATTAAATATTATCTGGTCATTCTTGGTTTAAAGTCATGCCAAGATTCCCTGTAATCATGCAGAGTATCAAGGAGGATTTCTTCTCACATAGAAGTATGTATGGGTCTAGAACAGCGGTTCTCAACCTGTGGGTCGCAATCCACAGGAACTGTATTAAAGAGCCGTGGCATTAGGAAGGTTGAGAACCACTGGTCTAGAATATTGTGCACTAACTTAATTTGACTCTCTATCTTGTCACAACAAAGACCATAACAGAACTTCCTGTTTGTGAAGAGATCTGCTGTGCCCACCTCTGTGGTGGAGGGGAAGGAGCTTAGGATCTATAGTCACATGAGCTGGTTGTACCCTGGCTCTGGGATTTCTGTGCGGTTGACTGTGAGCAGATCACTTGTTTAACCACATGCACCTGCTCTGGGAACAAATGAGGTGGGAATATCAATGGGTTTTATAAATGCTACAAGGCAGCTCCTTCTGTGACGGGTAAGTGCTGCCACATTCCTGTTGCCAGAGCCTTTTCTTCCCCTTCCCAGCCTGAGCCTTCTCCCGGAAGGATTCCCTTTTCCTTCCACATTTCAGCAGACTCAGTATTGCTTCACGGTTTCTAGATGCAGAAGCCATAGTACCTTCAATCATGTCTTTCCCTTGCCCCACTAAAATATCTAAATCTAATATTCAGTATTGACACTCATGCTGGTTGTCAGGATCACTGTGATGCCAGTGGGACACCCTAAAAGCAAAGAGATTCTATGATTATACGTGCAGCTCCTTTGCAGGGCAAAGCCCTCCAGGGCACCGCTTGTTTTCATGTATGTGATCCTGAGATCTATTGCGCATAGATGAATTGTCCTGGCCCTGCCCTGTGCTGGGGATTTAGGACCCTGAATTTCTCCAGAGATAGTAGTCAACGCCCCCAGTTCACAGGCCATCCCCCTGCACAGGGCTCACCTGCAGAGCAGCAGAGGGGAAGGGCAGCCAGCAGGAGGACAGTCAGCAGCTTCATGGTGGGGATGATGCAGTTGACTTTCCAGTTGTGTGTGGCAGGAAGCAAGGAAGTCACTATGGAGGGAGCTCTCAGCCTGCTCTATTTATTCCCAGGCAGGTACCGCAGGCCCTGCCAGGAAGGAGGGAATAAGCCAGAGACTCAGTCTGGCTTGGGACCAGAAACCATTGTATGAACCAAGGGGAATCCAACCAGCATGCATAGAAAGGAATTTTTGGACTCACAACAATTTGGGGACTTTAGTAATGACATGTGGCTTTAGATAAAATGGATGTGAAAGTGTTTTCCCAACTCTAAAGCAAATCCAACAGTATGAGCCTGTGTTGTCATTGTTATTATTATTGTGGTCTTCTCTCATTTCTTTTTCCTCCTTATTTTTGTACTCTTTTTCTTCCAGGGCCTCTTCATCTTCTTCCTCTTCTGTTCCTCCTTGTTCTTCAAGATGCAAAGGGCTTCACAGCCTCTATGTCCATCCATCCTCTTAGATTACAGCTGGCTGGGTGCAATCCCGCATTCTTCCTCTGGGAGGCAGCCCTTCCTTTACTCCATAGAGATTCTTTTTGCAAGAAAGGTGTTTCAAGTTTTGGAGAAAACTTATGACTTTCCAAGCTCTGATGAAAATAGAGGATTTGGGCTTGGCACCTGTGGCTCAAGCGGCTAAAGCGCCAGCCACATACACCTGAGCTGGCAGGTTTGAATCCAGCTCAGGCCCGCCAAACAACAATGCACAAAAATATGCTAGTGATGGCTTGGCGCCTGTGG